ATAAAAAAAAATTAAAAAGAAAAAAAAGAAAAGGTCCAAAAACATCTACAATGTGTAACACCTGCTATCTCCACAGAAGGGTGGGTTGGGGCATCCTCTCATATTTCTTCCTTTGAGTCCTGCTTGATCTTTATAATTTTGTTATATTGTTTTAATTTTTTGGTGTGTGGTTGTTCTTAACATTTACATTATTTCACCCTGCATGAGTTAATGTAAATCTTTCCATGCTTCTCTGTATTCATCACTTCTTACAGCATAGTTTCATTCACATACCACACATTTAGCTATTCCCCAGTCAATGGGTATCATTTTTGTTTCCAGTTCTGTGTCTCTTGATTGGTTTGCCTTGCCTCCAGGATCACCCCTCTCCCATTCATCCTCTTCACAGCTACCAAATTGATGTTGCCAAAATAATGAGACCTGACCAAGAGGCACCAGTAGCTCCCTAGCTGCCTTTAGGATAAAATATTGACTCCTCTGTTTGTCCTATAAAATGCTTTAAAATGTGGCTCAAGCCTTTCTTTCCAAACCTATTCTACATTATTCACTCTCTGCACACCAGCCAAACTGGATTTCTTGCTGTTCCACATAGACAGCATTTCACCCTGTAGTTTTGCACAATGCGTCTCCCGTGCCTTTTGTTGTTCAGTCATTTTCAGTCATGTCTGACTCTTTATTTAGGGTTTTCTGGGTAGACATCCTGGAGTGGTTTGCCATTTCCTTCTACAGTTCATTTTGTAGATGAGGAAACTGAGGCAAATAGGGTGAAGTGATTTGCCCAGGGTCACCCAGCTAGTAAATGTCTGAGGCCAGATTTGAAGTCAGGGAGATGAATCTTCCAGACTCTAGGCCTGGTGCTCTATCCACTGCACCATCATGCCTAGAAAGCATGAATCCTTACCTCTGCCTCTAAGAACCTTTAGCTTCCTTCAAGTCTCAGCTCAAGGGCAGCTTCCACCAAGAGGTGGATCTAGACAAGATCTCATTGATATTGTGACAGAAAACAAGTCAGCAGAAGAGAAACGACATGAAGAGTCCAACAGTGGGTTTTTGGTAAAGGCTACAACCATAGCCTACGGGACCTTAATTGTGTTAGCCTTCTTCAGCTTCTGGGTCTAAATCCAGAAGCTTTCCCACTCTCTTTGTGGCTAAACCACACTCCTCATTCAGAACAGGAGTAAAAGCCTTCTCAAGGATATCGGACACATGGCCTGGGTCAATAAGAATCAGCAAATGCTTGCCCATTTGAATGAAGGTCATTCACCCATTTCAAGAACAGTTTCTTGTATTTTATTTTACTTTCTGGTGCTTTATTGATAAGGCACTGTTTCACGGGTGTGTTGTCAGGCCTTTTCTGCTACCCAACCAAATCACTGCATATTTTATAGACATCCTGTATCTTATTATCTGTGAAACATTTTGTTTCTCCTTAGTAGAATATAAAGTCCTCAAAGGGAAAGACTCTTTGTCTTTGCGTCCCCTGTGCCTAGTTTAGTGCTTGGCACATAATAAGTGCTTAATGAGTGCTCGTGGATTGCCAGGTTGGAGGGGAGACTAGAAGGATGAAGAACAGTTAATAGGTTCTTATAGTAGTCCAAATTAGAGGTGATGAGTACCTAAATTAAAGTAGTAGCCATGTGATCAGAAAGAAGGAACAGATATGAAAGCTATCAGGAGGCAAAACTGACAGAACCTTACAGCAGATTGAATCTGTGGGACAAGGAAGGGAGAATAGTCAAGGATGACTCAATCAATATTTATTAAACACCTACTAACTACCGTGCTCTGTGCTCAAGTTATATGACCTAGCAGATTTGAAGGAGGGTCAGGAATAGTAGGAATGTTAAGTTTTATATTGGAATGTTGATTTTGAGATGCCTGTGCAACATCCAGGGAGAAGTGTCCAACAGATAGTGGACAATGAGGTATTGGAGTTCAGAAGAGAGATTAGGACTGGATAGAGAAAGAGAAATTCAGTCATCCTCTGTGTCAACATGATGCTTTAATTCACAGGAATAGATGCCATCATCACCCAGGAAAAGAATGTAGAGTGGTAAGAGAATGGGACATAGAACAGACCCTTTTTGAAAATGGGAAACCCAGCAAAGGACACTAAGAAGGAGTGGTTATATTTATAAAATGGAGGACCAGAAAGGAAAAATGTTGTGGAAACTGGTAGAGTAGGAAAAAACTATCTAGGCCAGGTGTCAAAAACTCCAGAATCATCAAGGAGGAGGATGACTGAGAAAAGTCCATTGTTGTTATTAACATTCACCATAAAGCAATCAATGATAACCATGGAGAAAGCAGTTTCAATCAGTGGTGGATGAGACTGGAAACCAGACTGAAAAGAAATAACAAAGTGAATGGATAATAAGAAATTAGAAGCAGCAAACACATACAATTCCTTCTAGGAATTTGGCAATGAAAAGGAAGAAAGATAAAGGATGAGGAGATGCAGGGTCAAGGGCAAATTTTTTAAGGATGAGGTAGAGCAAAGTGTGTTTATAAACGGCAGAGAAGGAACCAGTAGATCGAGAGAAATTGAAGTTGAGAAAGAAAGATGGAACAAACTTCTGAAGGAGAAGCAAAGGAAAGGCATTGAGGACCCAAGGAGAGATGTCAGCCTTAGGAAGGAGAAATGCTACTTTCTCAGAGGAAAGGAGGAAGAAATGAGTGAAGATATAGAAAGTGCTCCTTAATCACCCTACCTCATCTGATCCATTGTCCACCCTGAATTTATAGATGCTCTCTCCCTGTTAGCTTCTAAGACCTTATACCATCCCAGTTCACCTACCTTTGATTGCTCCTCTATATCCTCTGCTGAACTCTTCTTCCTCCCAACCACTTCACATTGAGTTCTGACCATAGTCCTATTACTACAGAAGGAACCTCCGAAACCATCTAACCCATCCCTAAGATGAATGAACAAAAATCCCTGATCATTACTTGACAGTTTCTAGGAAGGGAGAACCCATTGCAGCTTTCTATAGCTCTAATTGTTAGGGAAATTTTACATGTATGAGTCTTAAAGTTGTCTTTTTTGCACCTTCCACTCTGGTCCTCATTCTGTCCTGTGATGTCAAGCCGAAGCCTTTTCATTAGGATAGTCTTTCAAATACTTGAAGACTGCTAGTATGCCCCACCCCCAACTCTTCTCCAAGATAAATATTCCCAGTTAGTGAGTCCCTGTGAAATGATCTCAAGGCCTTTCACCATCTTGATTGCCCTTCTCTGAATGCTCCTCAGATTATCAGCATCCTTCCCAAAATATTACATCCAGAACTGGCTAGTCTTTATCTCTTTTTTTTTTTAATTTTTTTGTCCTTATCTCTCTTAATGCAGTCTGAGGTTGTATCAGCTTTCTTGGGCACAACATCACAGTGTTGAATCTTATCGTGATTGTGTTCTACTCAAACCCCTAGATGTTTTTCAGACTAAGTGCTACATAGCCACACCTCCACCACATCTGATCCTTGTGAACTTTACTTTTCTTTGAACGTAAGAGTAAAGCATTTAAATATATCCCTATCAAATTTCATCTTGTTAATTTGACTCAGTATTCTGGCCTGTAAAAATCTTTTGTGATCCTGTCGTCCTGTGCGTTGCTCATCCTGCCCAGTTTGTATCATCTGCAAATTTTGAAGAACATGCTATCTCTCCCATTATTGAGTTATTGGCCAGGAATAGGTCCCTCTTAACCAATCAAGTCTGCTGGTGATGCTGTCAAGCAAATGGCCAGGAAGTGGAATTGAAGTGAGCCTGAAATAGTGGGCCAGGTGAGGCAGGGATTAGGAAGCAGGGCCTCAAGGTAGAAGTCTCAGAGTTGAGAGGGTTAAAACATCCAGGGCATGGTTGCTGGTCCTGAGGAAAGGCCCTTGGTGAGTCTGGTTAGAAGATGGCTATGGTTGTTGATTGATTAACTGATTACCACGTAAATCAGGTAGTGTAGAAAGGGGTCTGGGGAATGAGGTGCTAAGAAACAGAAGGTCTGAGTTCTATGCCTTCCTCTTCTAGTGATCTTAAACAAGTCACTTTATTCAGCTGAGTCTTGGTTTTTCCATTTGTGTAATGGAAATGCTTCCCTCTCCCCCCTATCCAAAGAGAATGTGTGAGGTCAGGGATTATTTTGGATTTGGTTTTGGCATCCCCAAGTTAGCACGTTGGTTAACCCGTAGAAGGCACTTAATAAATATCTATTCAATAAACGAACGCTTGTTCCAAAGCAGTGACGTTGGTGTAGAGGTCATAATGTTAAGCCTACATTTATCCTTTCTTCTTTAATTAGGCATTCAAATATAAGTGTGAGAATCATGGACTTTTAGAGCAGAGAAGAACCTTAGAAATCATATACCGGTATGGGGAACCTGCAGCCTCCAGGCCACACGTGGCCTTCTAGGTCCTCCAGTACAGCCTTTTGACTGAGTCTAAGTTTCACAGAACAAATCCTTTTATTGAGGGGATTTGTTCTGTGAAGTTTGGATTTGGTCAAAGGGCTGCACTTAAGGACCTAGAAGGCCACATGTGGCCTCGAGGCCCACAGGTTCCCCACCCCTGACTAGGCCATTGCCTTATTTGAAACACAAGAAAACTGAAGAACAAAGAAGTTAAATGATTTGGCCAAGATTATTTAGCTATTATTTTAGCTGTTTAAGAGTTTATTAAAGGTTTTGCATGCTCACATAAATGGAAAAAAGATTGGTGTGATAACGGATTTCTCAATGTACAGAATTCATCTGATCTCTATCAGCAAATCAGTATTAATATGGGCTTTCAGCCAAGGGATCATCACCCTCTCTTGGGTCTCTGGTACCCAGTGTGGCAGTTAGTTATTTGTAGCTTCTTATCAAAGAAATAGATGTTTTAAAAATATTTGGTAAAATGGGGTTCTCCTATCTCTGGTAGTAATAATTGTAGTGGTCATAGGTCACTATATTTTATCCTGAATGCAAGTGTAGCTTTTAAGCTAAAAAAGGTTTTGCTCTGTTTTGAATTGATAGTTAAAAAGTAATCTTCCTGTGGACCAAAGAGAAATTTGGCTGACAGTGACCGATGCCACACTGCAGTTAGAAAATGCTGGCCTCCCAAAGACTGTGCCAGTGTGTGTGACATCGTCATGCGTAATCACCCCTGAAGTCATGGAAGCCCTCACAGATGCAACATCACATTCCATCTTCTTCAAGGATGTCCTACAAGAAAATGGTAATATTAATGGTTTGGGCTCAAAGATGGGCAGGCTAGAGGCAAGAAGTGATACTATATGCCTCCAGATTTTTCTAGGTCCCAGATATAGAGATGTTAAGTCTCTAGTTTGAGATAATGGAGACTATTGTCGTAATAGCCATACTCTATGAGCTCTTTGAGATGGTGGTGACTTATGGAATGGTTGACCTCGAGTGAGTGAGCATTACTTCTCTGCACATATGTCCCCTCCCTTTATCAGGCACAAACACTTACTTGTTCAGCACCTAAACAGACTAGCCAGGCTCTGGCCTAACTTTTTTTTTTTATGTTGTCCACTGTAGTTTTGGATTGCTCTCAGGAGCTACAACTCATTTTGCATTCTGCTCCTACTGCTGTTGCTAAGATGAGTGCACAATCTAGCCCTTGGAAGTTCTTAGTGCCACCAAGGGTTGACACTCAGAGCAGGCTGAGAAGCCTGTTACACGTCTCAGGGACTACTCAGAGACTACTTCCTTGTGGCTGCTGGAAGTCACAGCCAAAGGACTTGGAAGAAGCAACACACCCTCCTTTAATCTTCGTCCAAGATGTGTGACAGATGCCAACTAGATACTTAGATAGTTGGGCTGCTTTTGACCAACTTGACATGGAGATCCAGACTACCAGAAGTTATTTCTAGAGAACGCTTTTGAAAACAAGTAGAGTTTAAGAAATTGTAAATGTGTAAGCTTGAATTGGCCAGCCTGTTTTTCCAGGGATCAAGCTAAAATCCTAACTGAATTGTGTTTGGATCCAGTGTTTGCATGGTTTTGGGGGTTTTTTTTTCAACCTAGTATAAATGTACTTGTTGAGAGGCCTTGGGGCTTACACATAACACAATGCACATTTCATTGAAGACAGTCTGTTGGAATAAACCTGACACATGACTGAGCTTTCTCTTATGACTCTCAGTAATTGGAAAAGGGCATTGTCTTCCTTGGCATGAACAATTAACTTTTTTCTTCATTGCTATAATAACCTTCAGTGTTTCTGTTGGCAGGTAGACTTATTTGTATCGAACGAACTGTCCTCATGCTTCAAAAGCCCTTTTTGTATGTGGCTGCTAGTGCTGACACCTCTGAACTGACTAGCCCAGTGATACTAGATGAATTGGATTCTACCACTCAAGTGAACTGCATTTGTAGTGTACAAGGTTGGTAGCCACCTTAATGGAAAATATTGTTTCATACATTTAAAGGTATTGTCTTGTGAATCATTTACTTTGTGTGCCAACCAGTCTTGACTTCCAGAGGGTTAAAGTCTTTTGTGTTACTGATTGTCTTGGTTTACCTTGGTTTACTTCCCTGTGAAGTTATAGTAAAAATAAATAAATATTTATAATAAAAGGTTACCCACAAGTATTAAAATTAGCAGAAATAACAAGCACTAATTTTGAATCAAGTGGAAGTAGAGTTTAAACATTTGGGGTTGAAGTCCTCAGCACAAAAATGGCCCCCCAGTCCTGTTCGTAGATTTTGGAAGGGAGTGTTATGACCTTCCTTCCCCTCCACAGCTGACAAGGTGGCCCCTTTCACCTGTTTCTCCTCCTCCTCACTTGGAATATGATTCATTTATTACAACTACTATTTGTGCTTGAGCCAACAAGGTCTTAAGTGTTGTACACCATATTTTTTTTTAAATCTAACTTTCCTAAAGAATAATAATGATGAGGCCAAATTCTTCCTGCCAATATTACTGAACAATCCTGGGAAGAATATTGATTTATCTTTGGAGTTGAGAGAGTAGAGGAGAATGGATCTTCTTCTCCCCTCAAGGAAATGAGATTGGTGGTATTTTGCTGGTATTGGTGCTAGTGTTTCATGGGATATATCCCCAAATGCCAACCATAGGGTCACAAGTGTTGTCCACTTTCTGCTTATGCATGTGGAAGATTAAGTATATGAGCATTAAATATCCCCATTCTAAAATAAAATGAAACGAAAACGAAACCTAGGAAATTTGCCTTGCCTCAATGTAAGATTTTGCTGGTAGAAACAGAAATGTAGTCATATCAAGGTCTGATGATGGCTAAAGAAAGAGTGGGATTTTTTTTATTGGAGAAATAGAATTTTTGTCTGAGCCATCATCTTTTTCTTTTTTCTTTTCAAACACTGGATTCATTTATGCCAAATTTGCTTTATGTTTAATAGATACAACTAAGCCAATAAGAAAGGTAATTTTTATAGGAAATTTTCAAAGATTTCAAACATGAAATCTGAAGGTTAATGGACAAGAGGGGAGACACTCAAGGTATACTAAAACAATAGTAATAGAAAATTATTTGTAGACAATGACAAGTTAAAGTAAAATTAAGAAAAGGACAGGAACTAAGAAGAGAGATATTTGTCTATTTAATACATATCTTAATTATAAGAGCTTACTTATATTACATTATCAGCTATTTGCTCCTATAACCTTTCTCAAAGAATGGTACCTTTTTTTTTTTTTTTGCTTTTTGGTGAGGCAGTCGGGGTTAAGTGACTTGCCCAGGGTCATACAGCTGGTAAGTGTCAAGTGTCTGAGACCGGATTTGAACTCAGATCCTCCTGACTCCAGGGCCCATGAAGTTCTTTATATTTTTATGCTTTTTATCATCCTTTCATATTGTGGTGAAAATATATCATTGTTATGCTTACATAGTTTTGTGCTATTATGTTTATAAAGTTTTGTGTTCATTTTTTTAAGAGGTATAGCAGCTAGGTAGGGCTGCCAAAGATTATAAAGGGAGTACTACCAGAGACATCTGTTTAACTGTTTCATGTAGTACCTAACACAGTGCCACACCAAAATAGAATTGTAATAAATACGCTTCTTTTAATAATTACTGCCTTCTCTCCTTTGACATTGCCGCCATTCTGGTGTAGGCCCTCGTCACCTCACACCTTGATTGTTGTAATAGCCTGCTGGTGGTTCTGCCTGCCTCACTCTAATCCATCCTCCATTCAGCCACTAAAGTGATTTTCTTAAAATGCAGGTCTGCTCCTTACCTCCTAATCAATAACCTCCAGGGGCTTACTGTTGCCTCCAGGAGCAAAACCAAAATGCTCCGTTTGGCATTCAAAACCCTTCATAACCTAGCCCCCTTATACCTTTGCAGTCTCTTTCTTACACCTCACTCCCCAGCATGTACTCTTCAGTCTAAGGACTGAATTTAATCTAAGGCCACCTGGGTGTTCCATGCAAAATACCTCTCATCTCTTGGCTCTGGGCATTTCTCTGGCTGTTCCCTATGCCTGAAATGCTCTCCCTCCTCCACTTTGACTACTCACCTCCCTGGTTTCCTTTAAGTCCCGACTAAATCCTATCTCCTACAAAAAGCTCTCCCCAACCTCTCTTAATTCCAGTGCCTTCCCTGCCTTAGTAATTTCCTGTTTATCCTGTTTATAGCATGCTTTTGTACATACTTGTTTGCATGGCCCTCCCCCCATTAGATTGTAAGGTTCTTGAGGGCAAGGATTGTCTTTTGCCTTTTTTTGTATCCCTAGGACTTAGCACAGGGCCTGGCACATAGCAGGTGATTAATAAATGTTTATTGAATTGAATTTTAATGGTGATAATTCTGGTGCCTATCATATAAATAACATCTCCAGACAGGATAGCCCCACACAATTTATTCTCAAAAGCCAAAAGAGTAATTCTCTGTTGTATCTAAATGGTACCCTCCAAGAATCTCAACATGTGCACTTCCTTTATGAAACTTTTTCTGACCTCCTTCTCATCCCCCAACTAGAAATGATCCTTCCCTCTCCAAATCTCTCATGCCTCTCTAGTTCGCTTTTTTCACAATTTGGCCTGTACTGTAGTTATTTGTGTACATATCTTATCCCCCACTAGGCTGTAGGCCCTTTGGAGGTAGCAGCTGTCATTTTCCATCTCTGTGTCCCCAGGACTTTGTGTCTTAACTCAGAGACATACTGGCTATGTGACCCATATGTGACCAAATCCTTCATCTCTCAGCGCTCTGAGAGGTTGTCTAAGACTAAGGTGCAGATAAGATGCTGACCTACATTAGTAGAAGGATTTCTTCACCCAGGAATCCTTTATACTAATGAAGTCACAGATCCAATGCCTATCCCCAGGACTTAATGAACTACCTTGCACAAAGTAGGCACTAAGCAAATACTGAACTGAATTTCAAATTCTATTCTCTTTATCCCCCTGACCCTGAGGATGGTTAGCATCACTCACTATGAATGTTGACAAATGGTAGAGACATTTGAAGGGACTTTATTATGGGTGGGAAAAAATGAACTTCAAATTCTAAAAGGAGTATTTTTTACTGTACAGTGAAAATGCCCTTTGGGTACTGAGATAGTGCCAGTGGTTTGTTATTTTTGGCAAGACTTAGTTTAATGCATTATTAAGTCTTCTTTCCACTTGAGCTATATTCTCTACATTCTGAAGCAATAGATAGCTCATTCTTTAAGCAAATGACAAGGGGGAGAGTCTAACCTTAGCCTGACTCTGCCCCTTGTAGCCCCAGGGAATTTCTGATGCCCCACATCACCATAATTTAAGTCTATGGACAGAGAATTACATGGATCCTTTACACACACACACACACACACACACACACACACACATACACACACACACACACACACACACACACACAACACACACCCTCTCCACATGGTGGAAAATACTGAGCTTGCTTGCGAATATTTGTGGCTGTTACTAAATATACTATTTCCCTTGATGTGCAGGAGGCCTTGGGGGGTTAAAGCTGTTGCCATCAATTTCAGGTTTTATACGTTCTTCAATATTATCATCCCTGTGCAGCTCCAAAGAACAACTAAAGCCTCCCATCTGTGCTCAAGGGACCAAACTCACAGGCCGCCATCTTCAGAGCCCAAGGGAGGATTCACTTACCATTGTTTGTTGTTGTTGTTCAGTCAGTCGTTTTCGGTTCTGTCTGACTCTTCGTGATCCCATTTGGGATTTTCTTGGTGAAGGTACTGGAGTAATTTGCCATTTCCTTCTCTGGCTCATTTGACAGATGAGGAAACTGAGGCAAACAGCATTAAGGCACTTGCCCAGGGTCACAGTTAGTAAGTGTCTGAGGCCAGATTTGAACTCATGAAGATGAGTCTTCCTGCTTCCAAGCCCAGTGCTCTATCCAACATGCCACCTAGTTGCCCCTTACTAACCATATTTCCCCCTTTTTCTTTTAAGCTTGTTAGCTACTTTAAGCTATTGTGTGAGGCTAATAACTAGGACTGTTATCCTCTTTGAAATAAGAGGCTCTGTCTTTGTGGCGTGATATAGAAAAAGTATAAATTTTCCAAGACCCTCCCTGCTTGTTGACAAGGCTCATGTGGACTTTTTACAAATTAAAGCAAGTAAGACAGGAAATGATAGGGTTAGGAAGGTGTCAGTGCTTTTCCCACCCTCTTCCAAATTTTCCTGTTTCTGTAAGGTTATCACCATCATCCTTAACTCCTCACTCTCAGAACCACATGTCCCGTAAGTTGACAAATCTTGTCATTTCTTTTTGCTTTTTTTTTTTTTGCTGCTTTTTTTTTTTGGTGAGGCAATTGGGGTTGAGTGACTTGCCCAGGGTCACACAGCTAGTAAGTATCAAGTGTCTGAGGCCGGATTTGAACTCAGGTCCTCCTGACTCCAGGGCTGGAGCTCTATCCACTGCACTAAATCTTGTCATTTCTACCACCACCTCTCTCCCATCTATATTCTTTTCTTCACTCACACAGATGTTATTCAGTGGTTTCAGTCATGTCTAACTCTTCATGAACCCATTTGGGGATTTCTTGGCAGGAATACTGGAGTGATTTGTCATTTCCTTCTCTAGTTCATTTTTCAGATAAGGAAACTGAGGCGCAGAGTTAAGTGACTTGCCCAGAGTCACACAGCTAGAATCTGAGGCCAGATTTGAACTCAGATCTTCCCCACTCCAAGCCAGGTATTCTATTCACTGCACACCTACCTGCCCCAGGCATACAGGTACCACCTTATTATATCAGGCCCTTAATCACTTTTCACCTCAATTTTTCAGTAGCCTCCTAAAATTGGTCTCCCTGCCTCATTTCTCTCCTCTTCAGTCCCCTCCACATCTTCTGCATAGCTACCAATATCATTTGCCTAAAAAATGACCGTGTTACTCCCCTACTCAATAAACCTCAGTGGCTCCCTATT